CACGTAGCATATACAACCGTAGAAGATTCGGGTATACGTTAAAAGAAAGAATTGAGCCTACGTTATAAACAAAAGATTAAATTTTTAAAGGATTGTATCATGCATATTCCTCAGGCGCATGAAAGGATAAACAGAATAACTAATAGCATGAACCCGAGATTGGGAGATAACTTAAGCTAACATAAAGGCCGATCAGAAGAAGGAGGAAACTAAAGAGTTACATCAGCAAAGTAAATCAGGAATCCGATTATTGGGCCCAGAAGTTATAGGAATCATGATTGAGAACATAGCAGAATCACCTTAATATTAGAGGTGCAAGAGAGATGGCACAACAACCATATCCTATAACGGCTTGACGATAAAGCCAGTTAGAAAAGTAACAACCTCATAAGAAGACAGTACGAAGCTCCCACCGGATTATGTGTGCACCAAAGGTGCAAGTATTATAATAGAGCTTCAAGTTATGGATGTGAATTATACCTATGTGGAAGGGAGGTTATGAAAGAAAGATAGAAGAATGTGAGGTGATATTTTAAAGTAAGTAAGGTAAAGGTAAACAACGTACGGAATACTCGAGTATAGAAGGATGAGAGTGCTCCATACTTCAGGTAAAAAACTAGAAGTACTGGGATTCAGTATCTAGGAATAATAACAGTATCATTAGTGGCATACCTTCCAGCCTATGATTTCTAAGTACCGAAAGGTCTAATTAGAAAGTAAAAGAAGAGTTAGAGACGATGCGATGTTTCGCTTGATGTTCCAAAAAAGCATAAAGGAATCGATAGCAAGCTAAAGTATGATAGAACGACAAGGTTTTAGAAAGACAAGAGTAAGGATAAGAAGAAGGCAAGGGAGAAGGTGACAAAAATGGATAAGTCTACGGGATTAAGCCCGTGAAAACAAAAGAGCTGATGGTTCCTCTTAATTATAGAAAGCTCAACATAGCCTAAATGAACTCAAAGGAGTCTAAGACTAGTAGCATTTAGAAGAGATGGAATGTTGCCCTGGTAACAGAATGAGGATGTAATTATGATAGATAAAGGATGACGTTTGGGCCTTCGCTTGAGTAATGACTTGAAGAAGAAAAAAAATGGGGGGAAAGGATTTCATGAATTGTAAAGGACTAAAATACTCATATAAGGTGAGTCACATTGGGATGCTCTAAAGTACGGTTATGGAAGTATAATATCACCCCTAGGTGGATCAATCTAATTACTCCAGATGTCCCCACTGAGACGTGAGCCCTAGTTGCGGTGTTACATAAAAGATCAAGTTATTAGTGGTAGATGATGAATCAACATTAAGGTGAATCAACAATAGATGGATAAAAGTTCAACAGTATGAGATGAGATTAGACCATCAGTCTTAAGGATAAGCAACGAGAGTAACTTGTAGTTAGTTGTAGACCTCAGTAACGATAAATCAAAGTAAGAATTATGGTATAGTATGACCTACATAGATGCAGTAAAGTCATACAAATGGATAACCGGGTCTATAAAATAAGATATAGCCATATTCCCAAGTTCTACAAAGTACCGAGCGAGGAACTTTAGTACACCTATAGATGTCCAGAGAGGTATCCTATTAAGCCTTGTATATGTTTACAAAGTAAGGCCTAGAGATTGGCTAAAAGCGGGAGGAAAAAGGAGAGAAGAGTCGCAAAGGCACACTTACAAGGTCAGTATCATAGAGGCTACATGATAGAAAGTAGCAATTGTTACGAGATTGGAAGGAATTCAATCACAAGTCATGTCATGGGAAAGAGGCCTAAAAGGGGGATGCCCCGGCCTTTGGATTTATTCACAAAACAACTACCAAAATGGCAAGGAGAGTATTGAGTTATTCACAAGAGTTATAAGTTATGAAAATAATAAGAACATCAGTCAACATTCGAGGACGAATGTTCCAAAGGGGGGAATGATGTTACGTCCCGCAATATTATGATGATATTACGCCTTGCAGTATTATATTACGATGATGTTATGCTTTGAAGTATTAAATTACTACGATGTTGCACCCGGTAGTATTGTACGTTGAATTTGTCGTAAGGTAACAGACATCAGTACAAGGAAAAGATTATATGGAGATTATAAGGAATACACTATTTCACAAGTTATGAGTAAATTCGTGAAGGTGAGAGGGGAAGCAAGTCAAAAAAAAATTTCGTCCAAGTTTGGCATGTTGGGATAAAATTCGGGCCGAGCGTTAATACCCGATATTTATGGACTAGTACCATACAAGGTACCACATGACAATGATAGCAAGGTGTATAAGGTGTGTTTAAAGTGAGTAGTATTATAAGTAATTTGAGATAATTCTTAATTATGTGGATAACTGGATAATTATTAATTGCTAGAGCGAGATTAACTAATAAATTAGAATCTTTGGGATAGTTTCATGAAACTCAACGTGGCAGCAAAATGAAGTATTAATCAAAGCCAAGTTATGACTCTTAATCATTATCAAATAGGTGGCAAACTAATGTTCCTAAAGACATGACTTATTCATTTTCAATTAGCTTCATTCCTAACATTTTCAATAGCAAAAACACTACAATCAGATGGGGGAGCAACGTGAATTTTGAATGGTTAGCAACGTGAGCCTTACAAAATTCCTACAAAGTTCCCACAAAAAAACGTGATTTCTTCAACCAAAAATCCAACGAGATTTCGTAGCACATTAGCAACGTGAGATTTTGCGATTCTAAGGGAATATGGTGCAACCTTTTTCAAGAATATCATACGAAATTTTTCCTTACTCCAGGTATGTAAAGACTAAGCCCTTCTTTCATTTTGGTATGATATCGTAATTACACAAGTTTGATAACGAGATATAAAGAAAAATTCATATCCCAAAATTTACGTATATTTTTCTAGTTTTGTAAGTTACAGTATCCTCCTTATCAGGACTCATATTCAATTGAGTATTTCCTTCTTCCAATCAAGAGAGCAGAGAGTTTATATATATGGTATTAAAGTATTTTCATTACCATCGAGATATAATCGATGGGCAGGCCCCTATTGGGCAATCTCTGATCAGATGGTAAGTTATATACCGAGCATACTGTGGCTGAGCGCCTATAAGCGAGCCCAGTTGGTCGAGATACAACGCCTAGTATGGCCGAGCACCTATGAGCGAGCCTACTACGACCGAGCATTTATATATATACCGATCCTTATACGGTCGGACAACTATTTTACTTACTATTTTGAGATAGTTGAGTCAGTATCAGCAGGTAAGCATATCTTCAGATCATCTTTGACTTCCAGTTACTTTCAGTTATTATATTATCAGTTCAGTGTCAGCTTTCAGTATATTTCCTTACATACTCGGTACATTATTTCGTACTAACGTCCCTTTTCTGGGGCACTGCATTTCATGCATGCAAGTTCAGACAGACAGATGGGTAGACCTCCTCATTAGGTGTTGCCCGAGTTTAGCTTGATCGGTAAGCTTCATACCCTTCGTAGTTGCCGGGTCTAGAGCTTTATGTATGTCTTGTATATATATGTATATGTATTATGAGTAGACTGTGGCCCTGTTCTGATCATAGTATATCCATCAGTAGAGGCTTGTAGACATATCTTGTCAGTTAGTGCAGTATGTTGGGCTTGTAGGCCTTTTATGTATATTTTGTTGGTTTGCCAGCTGTAGTAGTTATGACGCCCTTGTCAACCCAGCATTATATTGATGTTTAGTCAGTATTTGCAATTGTATGGTAATGTGGCTCATGGCCAAAGTATTACATTATATTTTCAGAGTCCCTTAGTTGCAAGTTGGTATGCAAGGATAGGTGAGGCACCAGGTGCCGGTCTCTCCCCCTAGGTATGGGGCATGACACTACTATCCTAACCCGAGTCTTAGTTCCATCATACATGTCCTTAATCGTCCTAATGTAGGCAATTAGCACACCTTTTTCCTCCAAGTATCTCTAGAGAATTTCTCTAGGAACCTTGTCATACGCTTTCTCCAGATCAATAAACACCATGTGTAGATCTTTCTTCCTCTCCCTATACTGTTCCACCAACCTCCTAATAAGGTGGATAGCTTTCGTAGTCGAATAACTACGGCATGAACCCAAAATGGTTATCGGACATAGAAACCATCCCCCTCACCCTCACATCAACCACCCTCTCCCAAATTGTCATGGTATGACTCAGCAATATGATACCCCTATAGTTGTTACAACTCTGGATATCACCTTTGTTCTTATACAACGAAACCACCATACTCCACCTCCACTCATCCGACATTGTTTTTGTCCTAAAAATAACATTAAACAGCCTAGTCAGATACTCTAAGCTTGATCTTCCCGCACACCTCCAAAACTCAATTGGAATCTTATCTGGCCTGGTTTCTCTGCCCCTACCCATCTTACATATAGCTCCTACGATCTCCTCAACCTTGATACGCCTATAGTACTCAAAGTCACGGTGACTCCCGGAATGCTCAAATTCACTTAGCACAATATCCTGATTCCTTTCTTCATTCAGAAGTTTATGAAAGTAAGTCTGTCATCTCCTCTTAATCTAGGCCTCCCCCATCAATACTTTACCTCCCTTATCTTTGATGCACCTCACTTGGTCCAAATCTCGAGTCTTCTTCTCCCTCACCTTGGCCAGCTAGAATAACTTCTTCTCCCCGCCCTTATCCCCTAGTTCCTCGTACATACCACCAAAATCTGCAATCTTAGCCTTCATGACCGCTAGCTTAGCCTCCTTCCTAGATACCTTATACCTATCCATGCACGCTCTCCTCTCTTCCTCACCTGTTCTCCCTACTAACTTCAGGTATGCCGCTTTCTTCGCTTCCACTTTCCCTTGGACCACTTCATTCCACCACTAGTCTCCTTTGTGCCTGCCAGAGTAGCAAGTCGAGACCCCTAACACCTCTCTCGCAGCCTCCCTTACGCTGCCTACCATCGTGGACCATATAATGCTCGTGTCCCACTGCTTATATAGGCTCACATAACCGATAATCGCCCCTCTAACTCCTATGCATTATCTTAGTAAAGGATCCCCACTTGATCCTCCATCATCCTCGAACACACCTTTTCTTCCTCTTTTACATAATTCCATCACCAAGAGCCTATGCTGCCTCGTGAGGATCTCACCAGGTATAACCTTGCAATTCTTGCACAGGCCTCTGTCACACCTCCTAAGAAGGAGATAGTCAATCTGAGTCTTTGCCACCGTATTTTGAAAAGTAACCAAATGTTCCTCCCTCTTTGGAAAACTAAAGTTCACAATCACCAACTCAAAAGCCTTAGCGAAATCCAACAGCGAGGTGCCTCCTCCATTTCTCTCCCCAAAATTAAATCCGCCATGCAGCTCGCCATAACCACCTGCGGTCGACCCAATATGACCATTGAAATCCCCTCCTATAAATAGCCTCTCAATAGGCAAAACATTACGAACAATCTCATCCAACCCCTCCTAGAAGAGCCTTTTAACCTCCTCATCCAGGCCTGCATACGGTGCGTAGGTGCCAACGACATTTAGGGTGCACTCCCCAACCATCTTCTTAATAGATATTAATCTATCATTCACCTGTCTAACCTCAACTACAGACTCTCTAAGATCCCTATCCACCAAGATACGCACTCCATTCTTACCGTCCAGACTCTAGAGTACCAAAGCTTATACCCATCCACATCTCTCGCCTTCGATCCTACCCAACTAGTCTCCTGGACACACTATATTGGGTTTCATCTTATGGAGGATCTTTGATAACTCTATAGACTTACCCGTCAATTTTCCTAAGTTCCATGACCCAATTCTCAATCTATAGGCTCTCTTGTTCCCCTTACCTCCCTTGCCTCCCGACCTACCCCCTAACCCTTGCCCCACCACCAACCCTACCCTACCTCCTCGAGGGCATGACCTTACGCTACTATTCTAGACCACAGCTGCTTTATCTATCCATTTTGGATGGAGCCTTTGGTTGTATTTTTGGGGAAACATGATGAAACTAGGAAAAAAGAGCAGGCGATATATCATCTAAGAAAGAAGTTCACACCTTACGAGGCCTAGTATTCTCTGTTGGAACGCACCTGCTATGCTTTGACATGGATAGCCCCGAAGCTGAGACATTATTTCTATGCATACACTACATATCTCATATCAAGGATGGATCCACTAAAATACATCTTCTAGAAACCCATGCCTACGGGTGAATTAGTAAAGTGGCAGATATTGCCGAGTGAGTTCGACATCATCTATGTGACTCAAAAGGAAGTAAGGGACAATCATTGGCTGATCACTTAGCGGAAAATCCCGTAGATGGAGAATATGAATCACTGAATACATATTTTCCCGACGAGGAAGTGTTGTTTGTAGGTGAAGATATTACCAAAGCATACGACGGTTAGAGGATGTTCTTCGACGGAGTAGCAAACTTCAAAGGAGTAGGTATTGGAGTTGTTTTAGTATCAGAGACCGGTCAACATTATCTGGTATCTGCAAAACTCAAGTTCCCGTGCAACAACAATATGGCAGAATATGAGGCCTGCATCATAGGACTCAGGTTGGCTATCGATATGAACGTTTAGGAGTTGCTAGTAATTGGAGATTCTAATCTATTGGTATACCAGGTACTAGGAGAATGGGCTACTAAGAACACTAAAATATTGCCATACTTGCATTGTATACAAGAGTTGATCAAGAGGTTCATAAGGATAGAATTCAAACATGTTCCAAGGATCCAGAATGAGTTCGTAGATGCACTAGCTACCTTGTCTTCCATGATACAACATCCAGACAAGAATTTCTTCGATCTTATCCCAATAGGAATTCGTAAGCAGTTGGCTTATTGTGTTCATGTCAAAAAAGAGTTTGACAAAAATCCATGGTTCCACGATATCAGGGAATACTTAGAAAAAGGATAATATCCAGAGAATGCTACACACATGCAGAAGCACACACTTTGAAGGTTGGCCAATCATTTCTTTCAAAACAGAGGAATCTGTATAGAAGGACTCCTGATTTGGGATTATTGTGATGTGTTGATGCCTAGGAAGCATCTAGCCAGCTCGAAGAAATACATGCCAAAACTTGCGGACCTCACATAAACGATTTCATTTTGGCCAAGAGGATATTAAGAGCAGGTTATTTCTGGATGACTATGGAGACAGACTGCATCAAATATGTTCAAAAATGTCACCAATGCCAGATACATGCTGATATGATATGAGTACCACCCAACAAACTCAATGCAACGAGTTCACCCTGGCCTTTCTCTTCTTGGGGCATGGATGTCTTTGGACCAATTGAACTCACTGCTTCAAATGGACATAGGTTCATCTTGGTGGCTATATATTACTTCACAAGATGGGTTGAAGTCGCTTCCGATAAAGCAGTGACTAAGAAGGTCGTAGCGGATTTTCTCCAGTATCACATTGTTTGTCGATTTGGAGTGTCTGAGTCAATCATTACTGACAATGTTGTCAATGTCAATTGTGACCTGATGAAATCTATGTGCAAAGCATTCAAGATCAAGCATCAAAATTCTACAACGTACAGGCCGCAAATGAATGGAGTTGTAGAGGCCGCCAACAAGAACATCAAAAAGATATTGAGGAAAATGGTGGAAAACTACAAGCAAAGGCACGAAAAGCTACCATTTGCTTTGCTCAGATACCGCACCATAGTTCGTACATCAACTGGGGAAACCCCCTATCTACTGGTCTATGGTACCGAAGCCGTTATCCTTGCCGAAGTGGAGATTCCTTCCTTAAGGATCATACAAGAGGTCGAGCTCAGCGATGTGGAATGGGTACAGAACCAGTATGAACAACTAGCTCTCATTGATGGTAAAAGAATGAATGCAGTGTGTCACGGACAACTCTACCAGAACAGAACGGAAAGAGCTTTCAATAAAAAGGTTAGATCAAGGCAATTCACGTCGGGCAATGGTGCTGAAATGAATCTTCCCACATTAGGATGATGCAAAGGGGAAATTCTCACCTAACTGGCAAGGCCCTTACATGGTTCATCGAGTACTAATAGGAGAAGTTCTTATACTTGAAGAGATGGATGGAGAGATTTGGCCAAAACTTATCAATTCGGACGCAATCAAGAGAAGTTTAAGATTATGTTTACCCTTTCTGTTTGATGTACCCTAAACTACATTTGACCTGATTTCCATTTAAGAGGGGGTACGTAGGCAGCCCTGTAGGTTCGGTCATATTATAATAAAATCTTCATTCCCCCTATGGTCAGAAACTAGGGCAAGATCTCGAGTTTGCTCGATACCATCGTATTTAGGATCACCAAGGAATGTATTGCCAGAAGTATGCATTTAAATTGGGGCAGAATTTTGAGGAGGATCCTCAAACTTCCAAGGTAAGGAGGTTGCAATGTCTCAAAGCGTGTCACAGTCACCGATTCGACAAATTATTTGCTTTCATGCATTATCACATATTTTGAACAACTACATTTTTATATAAATGATTTATTACAAATGCATGTTTTTTCAAAATTTCATTTTTTTTGTAGTAGCCAGATGTTACCCAGGATGACTCAAATAGGACCTCGGGACAAGAGCAAGGTCAAAGCAAGGAATCGAGAGCGCGAACCAACCTTCCCCTTTCAAAACTCATGATTTTTCCTTGGATACAGGCATAATGGACATAACAAGAATGTCTGCAAATATATATATACAACAATTTCACTATCTTCACACCGACAGAAGTCGCCAAACACAAACACACCAAGCTATGAATCACTTTTCCTATCATACTTAATCATTGCTCTTCCTGCATACGGCTAAACATTGCCCCACCATTGCATAAGGCTAAGCATTGCCTTTTCTTGCATGGGACTAAATACTGTCTCCATTCCTTGCATAAGGCTAAGTACTACCTTTCCTACATGAGACTAAGTATTGTCTCCACTCCTTGCATAGGGCTAAACACTACCCTCACCATTGCATAAGGCTAAGCATTGCCTTTCCTTACATGAGACTAAGCACTGTCTCCATTATATTGCACGAGGCTAAGCACTATATCCATAACTGCATAAGGATAAACGTTGCATTCCTTTGCATGAGAATAAGCATTGTCTTCATTACATTACATTACATGAGGCTAAGCATGCCTCTATTATTGCATAAGGCTAAACACTGGCCTCACCATTGCATAAGGCCAAGCACTGTCTTTCCTTGCATAAGGCTAAGCACTTCCTTTCCTTGCATTAGTCTAAGTATTATCTCCACCCCTAGCATAGGGATAAATATTGCCATTATTATTGCAAAAGGCTAAGCACTGCCTTTCCTTGCATGAGACTAAGCATTGTCTCCACTCTTTGCATCGGGCTAAGCACTGCCCTCATTTCATACAAGACTAAGCCTTGTCTCGTCTCATTCTCGCATATGAATAAGCATTACATGTTTCCTCTATCAAATGATCGATATCACCGTATCTTTGAATTTCATGGGCTGAGACATCACCACATTGTCCGAAGGCACCATAGTCTGAGGGCATCATCCTCATAGCCCGAAGACATTATGCCATGGTCGGAGGATCTCTCGAAATTGCATATCATTATTCAAAGGCGTCATAGCCCACAGGCACCATCCTCATGGCCCGAGGACACCATTCTATGGCCTTCGAAACCCTTATCATAACGCTTCATAACCCAGGACGTCATAGTCCAAGGACATCATCCTCACCATCAAAAGACAACTCTCATGGTCCGAAGGGAATTTGCATCATGTTTAAATTTTTGTAATAACCCCATATACATTCGCGTGCATAATGTTTTAAGTTTTGTAGGTAACTCAGGAGGTAACCGTTCTACAAACAGTAGCAATTCTTGCTCCAGTTTCTTTTCACAATGTTCACATCCTTCAATCACCTCAAAAGTAGTCGGCGATCATCAATTGGTTACCCTTTTTTCTATAACCGCGCAAGTATTCGCCTTTTACATATGTAACCTTCAAAGTCAAGTTCATAAAGCTTCACCTGAAATTACCAGTTACTCACGACCCTATCATATCCAAAAGATCCTTTTCAAAACACATAACTATCGCGCCCCCTTTTTTCTCCCTCCGCGGAGAGGAGTTCCGGGCTTCGACATTCATGGGGTGTGATGACTCATTTCCTTTTGGGAATTAGGTATTTGAAGAGTCGCCACCTAACAATTTTAAGGCGCGTTAGGGCACCTATAAGGGTTCATTTCTAACTATGTTTGACAACTAGAGATAGGGTAAGGGCTTGAAATTATCCCAAGGGGAAGGTGTTAGGCACCTCTCAGGATCCACTAGTGTGGATCCCGGCCAGATAGTTTTTTTTTGTGCATTTGTGCAATTAGCGAGTAAATAAATAAGACTCAAGTAATAGGGGATTTAAATTCGAATACACAAGCGTTTAGATATGATTATTGAAATGCAAGGTTTTGGAAAGAGTTATGTTCTAAACATACTTATAAAAATAAAAGGGGTGTCCTAGGTTTGTTTGTAAGATGGATCACATCAATGCAATACCCGGTATGACACTCC